TTGTATATATTGAAATATATATTAAATTAATAAAGGTAAGGTGTGAATAATTTGTATAGAGTTTTGTATAATCTTTTCTCTTTTTCAATTTATACCATAATTAATATATTTTTGCTACTATAAAATGTCATCTTTTATAATGATAAAAATATTTTTTATTGATGCAATAGATAGAAAAATATTAAGAGAATAAACAGTCCTAAATTTTTTATATTATTGTCATGTCAATGGGTGCTTTCCATTTTTCATTGGAATTCGATGAATAAATAAAAAAGGAAAATGTTGAGCTTGCTTTTCTTACTTTTACATAATATTGATACTTACACTAATTGATATTAATTAAATAAATATGGGATTTTTATATATGTCAATTATATATGTAGTGCCAATCCAACATAAATTCTTAGTTTTTGTTTTTTATTTTTAAATAAATTAAAAAATTTAATTAAATGAAAATTGAAATAATAATTTCAATTTATAATCTTTTTTCTATTTCTCCATTGTATTCTTTTCTCAACATTCATATTGACAACAGTGTATTAAATAAATATAATCCGATCATGAATAAATGAATCTATATATCTCTACCTCATAAATTTGATTTTATTTCATTCAAATAAAGGGTTCATTTGATTTGGTGTAATAGAAGAAGTGTTTTTTTATTAAAATAATTAAAATAGAAAATTATATTAAAGTATAATAAGATATTAAAATAGAATAATGGATAACATAAGAGACAAGAGTTGGTATATAAATATTTTTTATTTTCATCTATATTTTTTATCTAAAATATTTTTTTGGATTTTCATCGGATCTGTTCATTTTTCTTATATTCATAATTGATTATGAATTTTTAGATTTTTGTTTTGCCTTTTTAAAATTTAAATGTTTTGATTTAGTCGTACTATTCAACCTCTTTATTTATTGAGATTTCGATTGTATCTATACATTCTAATTATTTTATTTTAGTTCGGGTTGCTAACTCAATGGTAGAGTACTCGTCTTTTAAGTGTGGCTAGCTCATTTTACACATTTTAATGAAGTAACAGATTCGTCTATGTCATCAGTAGAGTTTGTAAGACCGCGACTGATCCTAAAAGGAATTAATAGAAAAAGCAACATGTTGTATCAATAGAGAATTCTAAAAATATTTCATTCTTATCGTATAGGTTCAAAACCTTGTATAAATTGTTTGAATTCTTGGCGCAGAACAAAATTCATTTAAAAAGTAAAGAAATAAAAACTAAATTTAAAGTTATGTCGAGTAAATAAATGGATAGAGCCTTACTATACTATAGGTTCCAATTATAGGGAAATAAAAAGTAACGAGCTCCTGTTCTTAATTTTTGAATAATTATCCGATCTAATTAAACATTAAAAATATATTAGTGCTTGACGCGGGAAAGGCTTTTCCCATGAGTATATTATCAATCAATGTTTTATGAATCCTAAGTTTAACTATCTCAATTTTCATTATGTGGCGGAGATAAATGTTTAGAAGAAGGCAATATATTGATAAAGAGATTTTTTTTCAAAATCAAAACAGCTTTTTAAACATTTTTTATCCTTGAATGAAGCTAAATTAATTAGGTGTAAAAAGAGAGGATAGAGAGTCCATTGATGAGTCTTACTTTTTCTGAGGTATTTATCTTTTTTCTTACTATTATACCTTGTTTTAACTGTATCGTACTATGTGTATCATTTGATAATCCAATAAAGACAAACAAGATCTTAGAAATGCCTACTTATTTTTCGGGAGTAAATTTATGTATTTGCCCGTAATCTTAGTTTAAATAGATCGAATTTGTTGGAAAAGGTAGGTTATGACAATAAACCTAGTTTACTAATTGTAAACGTTTAATTTCTCAAATGTATCAATATAATCATTTTATTATTTCCTCTAACGATTCGAACCAAAATCAACTTTTGGGTACAATAAGAATTTGTATTCTCAAATGATATCAGAGGGATTTGCAGTCATTGTGGAAATTCCATTTTCCCTACCATTAGTATCTTCCTTAAAGGAGACATAAATCGTAAAATCTTATAATTTACGACAATTCATTCAATATTTCCTTTTTTAGAGGATAAATTCTCATAGTTAAATTATGTATCAGATGTATTAATACCCTACCCGATTCATCTGAAAATCTTAGTTCAAACCCTTCGCTATAGGGTAAAAGATGCCTCCTCTTTGCATTTATTACGGTTTTTTCTTCGCGACTATTATAATTGGAATCCTCTTATTATTTTAAATAAATATATTTCTATTTTTTTGAAAAGTAATCCAAAATTATTCTTGTTCCTATATAATTCTCATGTTTGCAAATATGAATCCATCTTATTTTTTCTACATAATCAATCTTCTCATTTACGATTAATCTGGGGGTTTTTTTAGCGAACATATTTCTATGGAAAAATAGACTTACAAAGTTGGTTGAATTTATTAATTGATACTAATCCTGGATTCATACCTCTAAAAAATGAATCAATATGTTCTGCTTGAGCTCCATCATGTACAATATGATATGGTTTATATTACAACCTCAAAAAAAAATGAGAGTTATAGTGAACAAACGATGTCGAGCTAAAAGCACTTTCATTCCTATATAATTTCTATATAATATAAATTGGTGGATGTGAGAATCCACAGCGAATCGTGTCCTTCAAGTCACACGTTGTTTTCTACCCCATCATTTTAAACGAAGTTTTACCATAACAATCCTTTAGTTCATAACCAGTATGTAATTAATTCCATTATGGAATTATAAATAGTCATTGGTTCGATCGATCTCTAATAATCTATATTTTATCTTTTTCTACTATATGAAATAGAGTTTCTAAAGAAGTCTAAACAAAAATTCAATTTAACCCCAGCGACATATATACATATATTTATAAATATTTATAAGTATTAAAATTGATTTCTAAATATTAAAATATTTAAATCTATAATATTAGATATTAATATTTAGACATAAAAATAGCACGAATAAAATTCAAATAAATAAGTTCTTTTTGAATCTGCATCTTCAAGTAACTTACTAGTGATAGGATAAATTCACTAATTTCACACTTCTTCGAGTACTAAGTACTCCTAAGAAGTCATCAATTTAATTGATTGAAATTTTTCTGACCTCCATATTATTATTTGAATAAAATTTTATAGACATAGATATATAAATTAAAGGATGTTATCCAACCATATTTTAAGCAATTGTAGTAAAACTTGAAATATATTCAAGTTTAATTTCAATCAATTAAATTAAGGATTTTATTATGCTCTGTCACTTGAGTTTTTTTGACCTCTATATGAGTTTTAGGATTTCAACCCATAATTTTAATTATTCTTTGTCAAAAAAATTTGAGAAAAAAAGTTTCCGCCAATAGATTCTCTCACAAAATTTGAATTTAAAATCAAAATCACTGACATAGATACGTCAACTAAACGGGCTATTTGTCTCTTTTTGCTTTTATTTTTATTTAATTATTGTTACTATACTTTAACCTTTTTTTTCACTACATTGCTAACTGCTCCCAAGAATTGGCATTGTAATTAAGAGTGGAAAAGGCATGAATGTGATTACAAATGAGAGAATAAATTAATTATGATATTCCACAACAATAAGTTTAACAAGCAATTATTTACTTTTGACCAAAAACAAAACAAAAAAAATGGATAACGTCTGTGAGTCACATCAGGAAGCAAAAACTATTGAGATTCTTTTTTTTTTTTTTTTTGAGAGAAATAATATTGAGTTTCATTCCAAATAATAAAAAAAAAGAAAATAGTAGAAAATAGGCCAATATGAAAAGTTTAAAAAAGTATATAGGTCAATTTTTAGTTATAGAAATTAATAGGGCATAATTTGTCAAGTTATGGTTCATAACTAGATAAGTTATGGACAAACTTGTCAAGTTATGGTTCATAGCCAGATAGGTTCATAGCCAGATAAGTTATGGACAAAAACAGTATTTGACCTATTTATTAACTTATGTAAACTATTAACCTATTAATTTTAATTCATCACAAATCTTGGTCTATTTTTCTCTTTCTCCCAAAAAAAATAAACGGACAAGTCCAGCTAGGCCCAGAAATTCTTAAATAGCACTGCTTAATTTAGACACTTTTTTTTTTCTTTTTGGGCTAGGAAACGATATGTAAAGAAATTAATCATTGTGTTTACAAAGAGTATCTATATATGAAAAGAAGCAATTAGGTAACCCTAGTTGCAGATCAGAAAGCCCTTTAATTACGCTTAATCAAAAGAAAAGCAATATATGTCTGGTCAAACCTCTCAAAGCAATGTTTTACTTTGGCCAGACAATTAGATACGCATACAAGAACTCAACAACAAATCAAACATTTAAATTAAAAAAAAAAAAAAAGAAAAAAAGAAAAGAAAAGCAAAGAAGTTACTGTGGCCCTTCCATGTTCTCCTTAAAGCTTGGAATCTATTTGCGTTGATTAGGTTTACAATAATTGTTCAGTTAATTCAATAAAAATATTACGTCATAATTAACCTAAAAGTAAAATTCATGAGAGAAATGAATAATCGGGAATCCAATGGTAGTTTTTCTAGTTGCATGCCACTGCACTTTTTTCCTATGATCATCAAAATGAATAAACCTTTGCTAATAACATCTAATTTTAAGTCCGTAGAATAAAAATTTCATGTGAATTTATTTTAAAGGACAAATATTAAGCTTAGTCCATTAGAAGTTATAATAACTACTTACGATACTAAAACTACCTGATGTCTAATTATATTCACATAGTTGCTCAAAAAAAAAAAAAAATTTCAGGCCGACCAATCAGACATCACCAGACAAACTCTAATGAAGATCTTCTTAAAAATAAAAATAATAAATAAAGACAAAAAAAAAAAGCAAAAAAACAGAGAGAGAGAGAGAGATCAGATTAAACACACAAAAATTTATTTTGTTCTTGATTGGAAGGAACAAAAAAAGGGTAGAAGAAGAGAAATGAGAAGCCAATATTATTGTAATTATAAGGTCTGTTAATTAATGGCTGTATAATGTACAAAACGACCTCATGACTTTTTTTTTCATTTTTTTTTTCTCCTTTTCAAGTCATCTCATCTCAATCGAGGACGCTAATTTATGAGCTTTTTTTTTTTTTTTTTTTTGTAAGCATCGAATTTGTATACACATACGCCATCCCCCACCCACCAAAAAAAAAAAAAAAAAAGCCTCAAAACTTCTCATCAAAATTAAAAAAAAAATTGAAATTTACCGACAAATTAATTAATTACTCTCCTTTTTTAAGACTCAAGCACGAACAACGTCTGTAACAAATCGTAGGGTGCCCAGAGCGCGTCCAACGGACAGGGCCGGTTAGCGTCGAGCCTGGCCCACGGTTTCCCCTTTCCACTCCAGTGAAGCAGGCTTACTGGGCCTGGATGCAGATCCCGACAAAGCCCACGGAAATTATCCCCTCCGAGGCCGTGCTGGTTCCAACGGTGGTCCACCGGGGCAATATTCCCTGCGAACACCAATAAAAACGGAGGCAACGACCCGAGCTCGTAGATCCGGATCCTCTTCTGTAGCTCCATCCAATCCACGATCTTCTCGGTGTACGCGCCCACGCGCCAACGCGCCAGGTCCATGACCATCACCCCGGTGTTGAAGTAGCACGCGCGGCGGCCCGCGAAGGTGAGAGATAGCGAGGGGTTGGACCAGAAGGTGGGCGTGAAGTAGGACGTGAAGTTTGCGTTGCAGTACTCTGGCGCGGCCAAAACGGCGCCGTTTGGGAGGGGCGTTGCCGCCAGCTTGGCAATGTCGTCGACAAGTACGAGGTCGGAGTCGAGATAAACGACGCGTCGTACGCAGGCGGGGAGGGTGTCCGCGAGGTAGTTGCGCGCGTAGTTGAGGGGGCAGTCGAGGGCGGCGCGTATGGATGTGGAGATTAGGCCGGCCACAGCGGCAGCGTCGAAGGGGTAGATTTGGAATTTCAGGTAAGGGAACGAACCGGAGAGGGTTGACCGGAGGGAGTCACGGTCGGCGGCGGAGGAGGCGACGAAGTGGAAGCGGATGTTCTCCGGGCAGGAGGAGTGCTGGAGGACGGAGAGGATCGCCGCCATTGAGCCGCGGAGGTAGGCGGCGTCGAGGGTCATCGCCACGTGGACGACGGAGACATCATCGTCGTTGTTGTCGGCGTCGCTGTCGTTTGAGCACGTGGAGTTTGAGATGTCGTCGTTTGGTGGGAGGGTGGGGCAGTTTGGGGAGTTGTAGAACTTGGGGGCTTCTTTGAAGCGCTGTCGTTTTTTATCGCCGGCGGCATTGGCGGCGGAGAAGAGGAGGAAGAGAAGGAGGAGGAAAGAGAAAGTGCGGTGGTTTGACGGTGGTGAAGGTTTATAAGGCATGTTATGTTATATTGATGTGTTTTTTGTGGTGGGAATGTGAATGAAATGAAAGGAGAGATTTTGAAGAAGAGGGAAGAGAGACAAAGTTGGTGGGTGGCTTTATTGGCTTATTTTGAGAGAGAGAGAGAGAGAGTTAATAGGGAGAGGACACTTCTTCTATTGTTTCTGCGTGGCTTTGAACCCACGTTGGTTCAGAAAGGCAGCTACTTCAAAGCCTAAGGTCAATGGTCTCCATCTATGTCCTTGGATAATAATATTAAAGACCATTTATTTGACTGATTAATTAATTGTCAAATGTGATTTTTAGAAAGTTGTTTTGTGGAGATTTAAACTGAGGAGAGTTCTTACCTTAAGATTTAAGCTTGTGAGAATCTAGTGGGTAAATTTGACAGTATCTTGCAAAATCTTAGAAGTTTAGAATCATTTATCATAGATTTTTTAGCTTGTTTAGTTAGAGGAAACGCGAAAAGAGATGAGTTAGAAGGTTAGTGAAAGATTTTGGCACCCATAAGTCATAACAATATGGTAGGAAAGAATGGATTGAGTGGAGTGATTTCAAAACCTTGAAGAGGAACAATTTTAAGGGCTTCCAATTTGGAGGAATTATAATATGGATTTTATCCATTTAGTTAACTATAGTACTAACAAAACAATTATATTCATATGGATCAATTAGGTAAATAATTATAATAATATGAACCAATTTATTTTCATATAATTATTACCCATATTACTAACAAAATAATTATATGAATTTAAAAAAAGAATATGATAGTAATCACACAAACAAGTTTTTTTTTTTTCCTTCCTTTCCCTTCTCTTGTATCTTTACACAAAACAGAAGATAGATTTTTTATGTTTTTCTTCTTATTCTATTTATACCAAATCAAAAAAATAAAAACCAGTTTCTCCGTCCACATTTCCCTCACCTAGACTATCTAGTATCTACCTCTCCGTAATTTGGGACATGCTCCATCACGTCTCTATTAAGCGTTCTTGAATTGTTTGTAGTGAAAGAAAAACAAAAATGGTGATACCATGGAAAAATGTAGTGACAAATGGTTTTTTTTATTTATTTAATGATGTACACTTGAGGTTGACAGCTTTAATTTAATTTTTTTTTTATATAGAATTTAAACTTTCAGCAAATCAAGCATGAGATTGATGACTGTTATAAACTAAATAAGGAACAATGCCACGCTCTCAAAGCCTAGGTGAGCCATCGACTTCAAGGAAAGCTCTGGTGCAGCTTATTATGTGCTTGAATCCAAAGATATACACAAACCCCCCAATGAGGAATTCTTCCAACAAAAGTGAAATAAATGGAACACAAAAAACAATCCTAACTTGGGATCCTTATTGGCATCAAACAAGGAATTCTTATTGGCATCAAACATGTATTATATACTTCACTATAGTGTGTGGTCACCAACTTGAACGAGAGCAACTCTAACTTGGGATCCTACCAATATTTCTTGATCTATAAGTAAATATGTTCATAAATAGTCAATTTTTAATTTCAAGAAACCTATGACTGACTGGAACATGTAGCACCATGCTGGCCAACATCATGCTCCATCTTCAAAATAGTGGCCCATCTTACCAAGGTTGTTTGCATAAACTATTTCTTTTTTCTTTCACTTGTTATGTTCGGGGTTAGAATTTTGGAGTTGGGTATTGTTTGGGGCACTCCAAAGGAGTCTTTTCTTCCCTTTTGAAGCAATAAGAGAAAATATATTATTTGGATCTTAATATATATATATATAGCTAGATTTTGTCTACCGCTTTTCGATGAGATAATGATCTTTGTAATATAACATGTAAAAAAAAACGTAATATGATACTCATTAAACGTAAACTTAATATTATAGTAATGTAAAGTTAAGAAATTTAGACATCAAAAGTCTATATTATACATTTCCAACATTAAGTTTACGTTTAATAATTATCATGTTATATTTTTTTCATTTCTACGTATTACATATATTGAGAGACAGTCTTACCTGAGAGACCGTAGATAAGTTCTATACACATATATAGGTGTGAGAGAGAGAGCGCAGAGAGAGAATAATTTGCCACTTAGAATTATCCAAAAATAAGAAATGGGAAATTAATTAAGTCCTCGGAACAAATTATTACCCAAATCTTCCTCCCCTCCCTGAATAAAGTTTTTGTCCTAAATAGTGCACTTGCCACCATCTAGGGAGTAGACTAATATTTGAATGAAGACAGTTTCCTTTTACTTTCTGAATATATGGTAGAAAAGATTCCCTTTTTCTCTTTTACTTTTTTAACATATATAATAACACAAAAAAAAAAAAAAGAAAAGTTTCTCCCTCCTTTGTATTTGGTCTACTTTCTTGTTCTGGATATTTTGTGGAACATTCAATGCGAACCCTAAGCCATCCCCGAGCCATCTTCATTCATAACTTATCACGCTGCCAATCAGTGTTAGTGAGGGCACTTTGGTACTTTTGTGACTCCAACTTCGTGTAAGCAATAAAGTCCACATCATCAGAATGTACGGCCCCTGATCTTGCTTAGACTTTAATGATATTATAAGAGTTTGCCACGTAGTCATCAAATGGGACCCACAGCTTGGCCACCTGAACAGGAGGTGGAACATTACCTTTTTTTTTTTTTTTTTTTTTTTTTTTTTTTTTTTTTTTTGGGGGGGGGAAAATTTTCTTTTTTTTTTTTTTTTTTTTTTTTTTTTTTTTTTTTGCTGGAAGAGGTGGAACATTACCTAATTACTTCACTTGGTCGTTTCTGAAAATAGAAATAGACAGCTAGCCAAACTTAAAAACGAAAACTCTAGCTATAGGTAGCCGGAATAGTAGTTTCTTGGTGATTTACTAACAAACTTTGCTTCCTTTGTTGTTTTCTTTCTTAAAGAAAAAAAAAAAAAACTGCATTTTTCTTTCTCTTATATCGAAAAGTTAGGAAAAAGATGGTTAATGAAAAAGATTGAAGAGGATGTTTAACCGTCTTCCGCTCGATCATTCTCTCACATCTTTTTACATAAAACTTGAATATCGCCATTTTTTTCTTTTTGTCGTGACCCTAATGTAATTAACTCATAATCAAACTTGTCTCATCCATAAATATTATATCTTGAAAATTAAATATAATCTGGAAGAGAAATAGGGTTTTGGTAAACGGGCTCAATTAGTGTTTTTGGAGTTAAATTCAATTCCATAAGCATATATATCACGTCTCATCGATATGTCCGTAATTGCATTATCAATTATTATCCATTAAAGCAAAAAAGTAATTATATTATCAGATATTATATGATATGCTTAATGAAATCAAATGGCATGCAGATGGAGTTACACCTACACCTTGCTATATTAGATAAAGAGAAAAGAAAAAATGTCTACAACTCATTAATGTGATGATGATTGATTAAAGGGACGAAAAAATGTATACTAAAGTGTTCTATAAAATGGATATTATGGGCTCGAATTGATTTCAGCAAGTCCTCTAAAGTGTGAACTTCATAAATAGATATACCCAATCTCTGTAATTATCAATCGCCTGAAACTGTTTTTGCATGGATAGAGTAGCTCTCATTAAAATATAACTAAAATACAAAACCAACTGTATATACATCATTGAATGGCATGTGTTGCTCATATGCCCTTTAATAAGTATGAGGCTTTCAATATTATTTATTTACTCAATTTTTTTAAATTTTGTTTCCCATAAAAAGGTAGAGAGAATGCACCTTCCTTCTCTCTCTCTCTCTCTCTCTCTCTCTCTCACCTCTTGCCTTTGCTTGATCTCCATTATATTATTATGTGTTCGAAGCTTTCTTCTTGTGTAAACTGAGATAACCATGTGCCACACATGGCAAACCGCAAAGCACCAACATTATTCCAATTATGAGTGTGATTTCACCTTCAATTTTTAAATTGAACCGTTAATTCTTTTGCTTTTTACATCCTCAAGTTTAAAATTAAAAAAGAAAAGACCCTTTTCTAGTAGTGCTTTGTCTTGATATGAGCAATCTTAAGCTGTCTGTTCTCTTCCATTGTTAGTCTATCAATCCATCCTAAACTCTTAAGCTGTTAGGAGATGAATCAACAATAGTTTTATATTTTAACACTCCCTCTCACTTGTGTTCCCTTCCATTGTTAGTTTATTAATCCATCTCAAAAACTTAAGCTGTTAGGAGGTGAGCTAACAATAATTTTATACATTAACACTCTTCCTCACGTGTGGGCTGAACAATGAGCAATCGTGTGGGTAAATTAATTAAAAAGCCCAACACGTGAATATTTAAGCCCGAAATATATTAAAGGCCCAACACATTATGAAAATTTAAATGAGGATCAAAAGTGTAATTACAAGTGTTTGAACTCAAGACATCCCCCTCTGATACCATATTAGTTTACTAATCCATCTCAACAATTTAAACTATTAGGAGGTGGCCAACAATAATTTTATACTTTAACTTTGACAAAGAAATTTAAAAGAAAAGGGTTTTGTTTGAACTTGAGGATTCACCTCTTTTACATTCCTTATCATCTTACAACTTTATGTTTTTGTCTTTACTTGAACTTTTTAAATTTTGTTCTCTTTTACATAATATATATACATTTACTGAATCTTAACAACCGTCGTTCAATTCGATAAATGTAAGTTTTTTTTATTCATGCGTGTAATATCGTTCTCTTATACGTGTAATTTTTATTTTTATCCCCGTATATTAATACTTAATATTACATGTATTAGACTATACTTATTTAATATCGTACTAAAACAAACTATATGCTACATGTATATAAAAATCATATTATATGGACATATGTAAAAAATTAAACATTCTTAGTGGTCCGGAGCTTGAAACAATTCACACTGCGAAACATATAAATATGTACATTATAAATATTTATATATACTATATATGTGTGTGTATATATATATATATATATATATATATATTGTACACACACTGCGAAACATCATGAACCCCGGCGTATTGGGAGTCACCGACACACCAGAGGGTGGGGGCAAATGGAGGCCAAAAAGTCAGCTTAATGAAAGCAAAGCTCGTTGTCTTAACTTTGTCCTTTTGCACGACCAGCATTATCATATATGGCCGAGTACGTGTAGAAGTAAAAGCAGTGTGTGAAAAACGCGTATACCTTAAAATTCAAGTTGCCTATTAATTTCCG